TATATATATATATATAGGAATAGGAATAGGAATTTCATCAATCCAATACTTTTTTCATTTACTTCCCCCTCTTTCTATCCTTTTTCTTCGTTTTTTTCTCTTTTCTCTCTTTTTCTTTTTTAATTGGATCTCCAGAAGAAAAGTCGAGTGACGTCCTTTTCATTCTCCCACGAAACGGCGTCTGTGGTGCGCAGGGCCCAACCCTCCAACTGCAGTGCCTGCGCAACGGCGGCGAACACCACACACCGCCCCCGCTGATCACAGTACTGCTGGCCAATAGACATATGCCACGTTTGCGGTTGACTTTCGGAAAGTGTGAACTTTGCGGTGGTGCCGTTCATGCTGTTGCTGCTGCTGCTGGTGGTGGTGCACTGCGGGATGGACTTCTCGAGACTGTCAATGGTCTCCTGCCGCAGTTGGGCCCCAGTGATGGAGAGAGTGGGAGGGTTAAAGGTGCAGTTCACAATAACGTACGGCATAGTTAGATAGATATTTAGATAGATAGATAGATAAGTGTAAATGTGAATGGGTTGTTAAGATGGTAAGAGTATACTCTTTTTATTTTTTTTTATTTTTTGTTCTTTTGCTAGTTCGCTTTGTGTAATATCTTTATGATTATTATTGGTGTAAAGAAACAAATAGAAAGAGAAAAAGAAAGATGTATACATTTATACATACACACATATTCATATATATATATATATATATATATATACGGTGATTTATACTAATAGATAAGCCCTTGAAAGGGAATAGATATCACTCCAGCAATAATATGCAAGAAGAGTATACAAGAAGAATAAGAACGGAAAAATAGGAAGAAAAAAATACATATATAAGTAGAATACATCCATATTTATATGGTGTTAACGAATCAAATATAATATTTATTGATGTTTCTACATTATTTATTTTCTGTTTTTTTTTTTTCTTTTCTTTTCTTGTTTATTTTACCCATCTACTTCAGATTATCTTCTTCTTGCTCTGTGTTGTTGTTGTTGTTTTTTTTTTTTTTTTTTATTATTATTATTATTATTATTATTATTATTCTG